TTTTTTTTTTTGGAAGCTACTAAGAACAGCCCTGGAAAGGAGGGTCCTTTCAATTGCTTTTGCAAGAAGTAGAGAATAGTGTGCACACATTACTTCTTAAAGTGGAACTATTTCCTCAGCTACATTACATACTAACATAATTTTTTCAGAAGAAACGGCAATAACTTAGCATCATCGACTGCAATAAAGCAACTGAACTGTTAGTAAATTGTTGCTGCTTTTTTTTTTGTCATATTTGCATTTAGTCCGTAAATGAAAAGTAATACTAACTTTACCCACTAGATGTCATGAAGGAACTCTTTACTGGAAAACATGGGCCCTAAGAATTTGAATCACGTTCCTACTCCATTTTTTTAAAATAATTTTTGTTAAAACAATTCTGTATGATTTATAAGATATTATTTTAGTGGGGTTATTCATAGAGATTTTGAACTTTATGAATGTTACTGTTTAAAATTTAGGCTTCTGAAGCAAATAACTGGGAAAGAATGAAAACAGAGATTAACCTGATTGTTGGACTGATACTGTATGTATATTTGGTTTATTAAATTACCATTTCTGGGAGCTAGCAACATTGTAGGAATTAAGTCTGTGGAACTTTTTTTTCCCCTCTGACAGTTTGGTTCAATGATCCTCTTTTTCCCCAAATTATTTGAAATTATCTAAAATGCTCTTGTTTCAGCAGCCATTCAGCTAACTAACTGCACATTCAGGCATTAAGTGTTTCAAATGAAACGGGGACTGCAGGAACAGTCGTCATGAAAATACGTCATTTCCCCAGCTGAAGTTTCATTTCTCATATTGTTACATTTTAGATCTAACTAAAAGCATTCTCTACCCTGTGCCTAGGAGCTCAGGCCCCTGGTGTCTAATGTTTTTCCTGACCCAGCTGTGTACCTTCACATGAGGTACAGAGGTACAATATGAGGTACAATATGAAGTACACCGGTAGGTCAGCACCTGCTGATGAAGAAAGTGCCAACAGAAGTGCACCCTGACATACAGGGTACAGAGGGCAGTCTGAACTCAAGGCTGCCTACAACTTCCAGCTGCTCTCCTGGCACACCTTATCAAAGCTTTCTAAGCAGGGCACCCTAGTCTGTTTATACACCTGAGATGGTCATGGGAAAAGTGTTGCAGGCCAAGTGGAACATGTAGTCTTAGGTTAATTGGTCACGGAGTGTTTGGCTTGTCCGTTCTCCAAGGTGGGGTACGCTTACGTTGCACTAGAAGTTGCTCATATGTGGCCTCCTCTCAGGGGAGTTGTCCCAGTTCTGCAGCTATGTGCACTGCTGTATTCTCATAACAAAAGTGCAAGAGTTTAGACTCATGAGCACTCAGTCATGTCAAAAAAACTTTATAAATATAACTCAAAGTGGACCTCTGTGCTTTCTTGGCTATGCACTCCCTTTCTGTCCCATTGTTCAAAGATATTTTACAGGGATCTCGAGGTCACCTCCTAATTCAGTTCTGAAAAGTCAATTTCTTTAAAATTTATTTTCATCATGTAATTTAGCTTATTGCATTTCTACTATTAAGGAATCTTAGTACCACAGTAATACGCTAATCAACATGGAAATATGCTAATCAACATGTAAATGTCACTCCAGGTATGCCTGTGAGGTAAAGTTGTAAGGTAAGAACCTATTGAAAGATAGTAAAGGAAATACAGAGTCCATGAAATGAAATCAGTCTCAGAATAGTTGTAGAGGTATAAATGATGCAAATATATATTTTTTAATTTCCTTCTCAATTTTTTATTCTCTATCTTTTTGTTGTAGTTTTTTTATTTTAGACAGATTTACCAAGTTAATTTTGATCCAACTTGGCTTCAGTAAAAAGCTGGCCTCCAATCTGAATACTGAAACAAAAATTTCTTATATTGTTTAAAGGAAATAACAAATTTGGGGGATGGTGGTCCAAGGGTTAGATTTAAATATTACAGTTCCTTTTTGTTTAGGGAACTCCAATCTGTCTAAAGTTAAGTGTGTTTGTTTAAGCATATTGAGTTTAAGATTTGGGTATTGATTAGGACTCTATTAGGACTACATATATACTTAATTTAGTGAATGAAATAGACATGGTTTTATTTTAATTAGAATAATGTATTTTATTACTTAAATGCCGTAGATACTACTATTGTGTAATGTATACAAATCAAGAGGCCAGTGTAGGGTCTGGAGAATAAGTCCTATGAAGAGCAGCTGAGGGAACTGGGTTGTTGAGCCTGGAGGAAAGGAGGCTCACGGGAGACCTTACCCTCGACAACTACCTGGAAGGTGTTTGTGGTAAGGTGGGGATCAGTCTCTTCTCCCAAATAACAAGTGGTAGGCCAAGAGGAAATCCCCTCAAGTCGTGCCAGGGGAGTTTCAGATTAGATATTTGGAAAAATTTCTTCATTGAAAGGGCTGTCAAGCATTGGAACAGGCTGCCCATGTGAGTGGTGGAGCCACCATCTCTGGAGGCACTTACCAGACCTGTAGATGTGGCACTTAGGAACATGGTTTAGTGGTGCACATGACAGTGCTGGGTTAACAGTTGGACTACATGATCTTAAGATTCTTTTCCAACTTAAATGATACTATGATTCTATTCTGTGATTCTATTAAGTGAGCTGACCATGGCTATTAAATAGATTTCATTTAGGTTTGTAGTATCTTTAGTGCTTCTGTGTTACATTTAGCTTGAACTTATTCTTGCCACTCAAAGTGGCATTTCTTAAAAGCAACATTATATTGATTAATGAGAGGGAAAAGTAGTTAGTAATTTTTAGTGTTCAAGTTGGTAGGTGATGAAAGTTTCTATCAGTTTTTTTATACTGATCCACTACTAACTTGAAAAAATACTGCAGTCTTACACCACAGTTCAATAAATATCTCTTTCTGAAACAAGCTTCCCATTTATATAGTTCTGCTTGTTTTTTGTTGTCCTTGACTTTACCAGTTGCACCCAAACTTCTGTTTGTGGGGTCATCTGGCAAGTCTTATTGGAGAAATGATTCATATGAAAAGTGAAGTGGCAAAAAATTGTAGTTTTTATCAATAAGTTGCCTCCTCCCTTTTGCCACATGGCTCTACAAGTATTTGTATCAATATATTGGAAAGGCATTGTGGAGGCTGGTTCTGTTTATTCTAGCATTGATGCCAAAACCTGTGCTCATTAAACCACACCCTTGCTTGTAAATCTTTAATTTAGGCAACAAATACAAAATAAAGATTTTACTCAGGGATTTTTCTTCAACAGAAATACCACATGAATGTGGTATTTGGTGTGAACCAGAAATAGCAAACTAAGATACAAAGATGGATTATGGATTTATTAATACCTAATTGGCTTTAACAGTTTTTAAGATGACATTTTGTGTGTTGACATAACTTTACATCCTGTTCTAGCAGCACATGAATTGCCAACTCTCAAGATCAATGAATAGGCGGGACTCTATTATAGGAGTCATTCTATAGAAGGAAAATTGTATACTATAATTTTCTGGGCTCTTATGTTACTCTGAAAGAGGAGAAATAAATGGATGGAAAGCTTATGCTGCTTTTTATCATTTCACTTCCATCGTTATCCAATTGAATGGAAAGCTGTTCATGCAGGCAAGTTCAGTGTGTTTGGGCAACCTCTGTTATTACAGGAATGGTGCATGTACAGAGCCCAGCAGTTGAAAGCAGCAAGACTGTGTAATCCTGGAAACTGAGACTGTAATGGCTCTTAATATATGATTTTCCAAGAAGAAATAAGCGAAGAA